AAAAAATATATATATATATATATATATATATATATACTGTATATATATATATATATATATATATTCTATAAAAGAAAGAAATTCATACAGGTTTGGAATGACATGAGGGTGAGTAAATTAACCAAATTTTTCATTATTGGGTGAGCTATCTCTCTAACATTCTGCTCCATTGTTGAAAAGCTAATTAAGGTTATATAAGTGCTTTAGTAAAGAAAGCTGCATTGGTTTGCTCTTAGTTGCAACCCTAAAACCTCACCTGCAGTAAAACTGGTAGCAGCAACAGCAAATCCAGAGGGAGACTGTTCACTGCAGGGCAGGGAAGGGAGATTTAACAGGTGGGTGCATCTGGATAAAGCCCAGTCTAGTGTATCGGAGCTCACTCTACCATGCTGCTTTTCACCCACTCTGGTCACTCACCTCCGTTCACTCCAGTCTGATATCTCAATCTTTTGTGTGTGCGTTACTGTGTCGTGCTTCATAAAGAGCTTGTAAAGCATTTGTCGTGCAGCCAGACGCGGTGAATGTGGCTCTCTGCCCTACATGTGGGCGTGGGTCTCCATTTTATGTTAGAGGAGGCGCTGTATGCGTGTGTGTGTGTGAATAGGTGAGGTGTGCGGAGGAGGAGGCAAAGAAGAGGCTTTGTCTCCATAGGTGGGTTTAACATTAATAAAACCTTCCTCCTCTCACTCAAGTATTTTTTGCAACCTCTTATGCCCCCTATTACAAGCTCTTCATCTTCACTCTCAGTCCCTCTCCCTCATTCACACCCAGAGTCCAAAATTAACACTTGACAAGTGCCAAATTAGAGTAAAAATTGACTTTGGTGAGTATACAAAATGCCCTGCTGTTAACATTTATTTATTTATACATTTTTATTTAAATGTGTGTCTATAATATTTTAGGAAATAATGAAATAATGCAACTTAGATATATTTAATGTCAGTAAAGGTTTTGCAATTTATCCAAAAATGCTAACTTAATTGTGCTTTGTCCCCCATTTAAACATGCACATAGAGATAATGCTAAATGCTAATTTCTTTCTGTAATCTGTGTGTGTTTGCACACACACCACATCGCACCTTTTAATGCATGGCACATACACATTTCCTGTGGGGGCCTCCTCTTGTGTCCTTCATGGAGACTGTAATTACACAGTGTTCTCTGTGATTTTTCACCCCTGAAGAGGCTGTGCTGAAGGAGTTGGAGGGAGAGAGAGAAAGGATGTGATGAAGAGTGAGGCATTTAATGAGCTCAAGCTTTTCTCCTCGAGCCCTTCAACCTCATGCTAACAGGCATGAAGACACAAACGTCTGTTGGAAAACACACACAGCTTTAGTTAGCTTGCATCTTTTTACTATTACAAGACATGTATGGCCAAAAGCATGTGGACAACCAAACATCACACCAATATGCACATTTTCATTAATAGGAATCTTGTCCTTCCTTAAGGTTCTGCTCCTCTGGGAATGCCCTTGACTAGATGTTGGAACATGAATGCAAGTTTTCACAGGAGCATAAGTGAGGCCAGGCACTGCCGTTGGGTGAAGATTTGACTTAATTGGAGTCTCCACATACTTTTGACTGTGTAGCTAATTATACTTACTTAAGCCTAACCAAAACCAAAAATAAAACATTTGACATTTCTAGAATAATGAAGACATTGTGTCTTTATGAACCATTTTCGATAGTTCTGATTACACCATAAAAAGAAGGTTTATCAGATTTAAAGGGTTATTTCACCCAAAAATGAAAATTAGCCCATGAATTACTCACCCTCTAGGCATCCTAGGTGTATATGACTTCTTTCAGATGAATCCAGTCAGAGTTATATTAAAAATTGTCTTTGATCTTTCAAGCTGTTTAATGGTTGTCAGCAGGTTTTGCAGTTCATCAGTCCAAAAGAAGTGAAATAAAGTGCATCCATCCATAATAAAAAGTGCCTCACACGGCTCCGGGGGGTGAACAAAGGCCTCCTGTAGCGAATCGATGCGTTAGGAGAAAACAACCATAAGAAAAATAACCATATTTAAAACGTAATAATCAATTAAATCTAGCTTGCACTCACTATTGTACACGGAAGCAGCTCCGGGGCGGATGACGTATGAGATCAGCTTTGTGCATGCGCTGCTCAGAAGTGACGAACACGGAAGCGCAGGGGAGAGATCAAAACAAAACAACGGTCACGAATTAGAAGTACAAAACGAGGATTTGTAAAGAAGAATGTTGGAGGATTTCGATATAAGCCAAGAGGAGATTGGTTTTCCTTTGCTAAACTAAGGAAACTTTGCTTCCTTTGCTCCTTTAAACAAACGTTGGTTTTCACGAGTCTCACCGGCACATGCACAATGCCGACATCTTACATCATCCTCCTGGAGCTGCTTCCGTGTACAACTATTGGCGCAAGCTAGATTAAAGTGATTATTACATTTTGAATATGGATATTTTTCTTACAAAAACGCATCGATTCACTACAGGAGGCCTTTGTTCACCCCCCGGAGCTGTGTGAGGCACTTTTTATTATGGATGGATGCGCTTTATTTCACTTCTTTTGGACTGATGAACTGCAACACCCGCTGACTGCCATTAAACAGCTTGGAAGATCAAAGATCATTTTTAATATAACTCTGATTGGATTCATCTGAAAGAAGGAAGTCATATACGCCTAGGATGGCTTGATGGTGAGTAAATAATGGGCTAATTTTCATTTTTGGGTGAACTATCCCTTTAAGTTAATGGGTAGTTAAAGGCGTTAACTATCCATTGTCAGCAATCTTATGCCTGTACTTGTTATGTGGCTAAAATAAACACTTTTGTCTTTTCTTTTAACTTTTCTTCCTATCAAGTTTCTCTCTGTCTATGAGGCTTTATGCACCCCACTTTCTCATTTAATTTTACATAATTTTACATTTATTTTATTTTATTATTTAATATTTACACTACTGTTCACAAGTTTGGGGTCAGAAAGATTGGTTACACTTTATTTTGATAGTACACTTTAGACATTCTACTAACAGTAAGTAACTTTGCAACTACATGTCAACTAATTATCATGAATTCACAACTACATGTCTACTAACTCTCAGATTAGACTGTTAGGTTAGATTTAGGGTTAGTCGAATAAGTTGACATATACTTGCAAAGATTCTTATAGTCAGTATGGTGTATGTTGTGGGTCCATCAAAGTAAAGTGTTAGAAGATATTAAGCAGACAGTCTACTAATACTCTAATGACTGCTAGTTGACATGTAGTTGCAAAGTTACTTACTGTTAGTAGAATGTCTAAAGTGGACTATCAAAATAAAGTGTTACCGAAATATTTGTTTTTGTTTGCTTTAAAGGGGTCATTTCATTACACCAAATACACAAAATAATGTTCTTTTTAGCAACATCATATGACCCCTTTAAATGAATCAAAAGTGACAGTAAAAGGCTTTTATATAATTGCACAAGATTTCGGTTTAAAATAAATTGTGTTCTTCTCATCAAAAAATCCTGAAAAAAAATGTATGTTTAAAATATTAAGCAGCAAAACTCTTTTCAACAATGATAATAAGACATTTTTTTTGTGCACCGAATCAGTCCATTGAAACAATTTTGGAAGGATCATGTGACACTGAAGACTGGAGTAATGGCTTTGCCATCACAGGAATAAATTACATTTTGAAATATATTATAATACATAACAGCTACATTAAACTGTAATAATATTTCACAACATTTCTGTTTTTACTGTATTTTTGATCAAATAAATGCAGCCTTTAATTCTTTGAGTCACCTCATGTAGTTTTCTTGTGGATTGTCATGGACATGGAAACTGTTACTCATCCATTCATGTGTTCATCTCAAATCTTTGGAGGACATATATTGAGAAGTATCACAATGCAGGTCCAATGCAGGAAAAGCCTCATAGACACGACTCCTTCACTTAACTTTTTGTTTGCTGCTCTTACACAGGGCTGCCCAGAAGCTGAACCTCTCCAAACGAAAGAAGCCTCAGCCGCTTCCGCCCTCCCCACCTGACCCAGAAGAGCCGTTCTTCTACACTGATGGCTTCAGCGCTGCCCTGCAGCTCTCGCCCCCGCCTGTACCCCCATGCCTCCTCAGGGCTGGGTCAAAGGTTAAGGACAGCCCTGGGATGGGAAAGGTACAGTAAAGTCATCATTGCTAAAACGAAACTACTTTGTTTGGCCTTCCAAAAGAGGATGATATCCGCTTCGTCATGCCTAGAGCTGATCCGTGCTGGTCTCAAAGGAAATACATCAACTTCGCGCTCTGGATTGCCGGATCGGCTTTCACTGTGGGTCGTCACATGTGGTTGCTGCAAGCCCGCCGGCCGTTAAAGGATTTGCCACTGATGATTCAAACGCGAGTTTTGAGCAGTGTAGAGTAGCGCTTATTGTTTGTCATTTCTCCGATCACAAATGCAGACATAGTTTTATGTTTACATGCCGCGATGCAACGCAACGCGTAAAAGGACAGTATAAATCATTATAATCCGTAATTATGTCCCCACTGGATGCAACAAATGCCTCGTTTATAATAGGGTTTAATGTTTTTGTCTCGTCGCTCCGGGACACGGCATCACAGTATGGTAAGCGGCGTAACATTTCCGTCACACGCTTGAGGTATTCGGCCAATCACAGCGCACTGGATAGCTGGCCAATCAGAGCACACCTCGCTTTTCAGACCGCTGAGCTTTGTAAAAATCAACACGTTTCAGAAAGGCGGGGCATAGAGGAGAAACAGTAATGTACAGTATGTGGAAAATAATGTGTTTTTTGAACCTTAAACCGCATAAACACATTTCATTACACCAAATACACAAAAAAAATTCTGTTTAGCAACATCATATGACCCCTTTAAGAAGTTTTTTTGTCTCCTATACCAGTTTTTTTTAGAGATTTTTGGATGGGAATGGTTTGTAAAGCATGATCAAAGCCTAGATGATTAAGGTTGTGCCAAAATTATTGTTGTCTGACAATGACTAATAGGTAATCTTGAAACCATGTTGACCGCTTATACAGCATTTCAAAATTGTAGAGAATTTTTTCTTCTTTATTAATTAAATGAGATCATGTATAAACCCCTGGTTGCCCTCTGCTTAAGAATGCCCCGTGAGTTTATCGATTTGGCTAGTTCTCGGGTTACCATCAAAGCAGACTGTGTGACAGCATGGGTTGTGGCCCAGTTGTCCTGATTCCCAGGCTGTTGGAATTCCAAGAAGCTCCTTCGGAATGCCAGACAGCATTCCTTGTTGTACGTGACTGAAAGGCCGTGGGAGTGGGAAAAGCAATGTATGAAAACAGAAGGGTCAGAGAATGACATCAGGGGGCATTTGAATGAAAGGCTTATTTCTCTCTCAAAATAGAGCTGTTTATTAGTGCTGAACAGTCTGAGTGCACAAATGCTTATGATATCCAATGACTCAAGAGCCATTCATATTAGTCTTGTCCGTGGATTATTTGAATTTTTGTGAAAATTACAGTAAAAGTAGATTAAATGTAACTAAACTAATAAAACATCTCCCTTGGGGATGCATGATATTAAAATGTTATCCAACACTGGTAAGCTGATTATTGGTTTCATATTAACTGACAGGTATTAAAATTCTATACAGGTTTGTTTGAATTCATAAAAGATAAAAAACTAAAACAATCAAATAAAATGTTTTAAATGCTGCAAGTGAATTTTATGCTTCACAAAATTTATTGTACCCACATTTATAATGTACAGAATGAAAAATGAGATTTGCTGAAGATTTCTTTTAAAAGTGTTTTAAATTAGTGTTTTTTTTTTTAGATTAACTTAATTGGCATAGTGCAAATGTTATCTGAATGTAAAAAAACAGTATTAAATATCCAATATCAACCAATACCAATTAAATAAAAAAAAGTCTAATAATGGCCAATAATAGTCATGGTGCCGATATACAGTATTGTGCATACCTAGATCGTCCTAATGTGTTCTTTAAGGCAGTACACGGAACATAACTTGTTTTGCCTATTAAAATGCCATAAGTCTCAGTGACTGGATGATCACTGTCATGCTAAAGCATGTTGGTATCCATTAGGCAAAGCACTTAATCCCAGGTCACTCCAGGGGGACTGTTTCTGCAATTAGTGTACTTTGAGTCACTTTGTATAAAGAGCATCTGCTTAATATTAACCTACTAACCATAATGAGCTGAGGTCATGCCCTTTCACTGTCTTCTCTGGAACATCTGTACATATACTGCTACATCTTGTCATGTAACTGACAGTTCCATATATATACTCTCTCATGGGACTCTCTAGAGCAGTGATCCTCAAATCTGGCTCGCGAGATCCACTTTCCTGCAGAGTTTAGCTCCAACCCTGTAATCAAACAAACCTACCTGTGTTTTTCTAATGATCCTGAAGACATTGATTAGCAAACTCAGGTGTGTTTGATTAGGGTAGAGCTAAACTCCTCAGGAAAGTGGATCTCGCGAGCCAGATTTGAGGATCACTGCTCTAGAGCATCATGAGCATCTCAGCATGTTGCCGCTATTTTGGGTAACAAACTCATTCCTTTCCTTAACACCCCCTGGAGGTCTAAAAGCCATGGAAGATTGCACTGACCCACGTATGACCCTCCTCCAGCACGGGTGATGCACTTTAAATAAATTCAAAGAGATGGGACCCATTAGAGTCTGCTTTTGGACGACTTCTCTGTGGGAAAGTAAGAAGATAATGTGTGTTCTTAGCATAAGATAGTATACTATAATAGACTGCTGACTCATAAACACCAGCAGGTGGTGCAGGTTTATATTGCGTCATGTCTGCAGGGAGATGATTCGCTCATTAAGAATGGTGAGGTCACCTGAGTTACTTCACAAAATGCATCCAGACATCTCTGGAGGAGTCAGCTTATTACATCATCCTCATATCCATTGCAGTTGGAGGGCTATGTGAATAAAGCATTTTCCTTCCCTTAATTGTTCACCCGATTGTGTTGATGCATTGTGCAAACACAGCATTAGAAAATGTGCACAATGGCATTAAAAGTTTTCTAAAGTCACACCAAAGGCAGGCAGCTGTAAGTTTTTAATGAGTTTTATCAAGAAAAAGACAGTGAAGTGATCGCTAGTAAGCCCCACTGAGTTGAAGTATGTTGCCTGCTGATTTTGAGACGCTTGTAAAGGAAATGGTTATGAACACTCTCATTTTTTTTATTTGTGGAGAAAGGAAACGTCAAAGTGCTTAGAAGGCAGCAGGTAGAGAGGAACAGGTGATTGTGGGAAGGCAGCGCTAATGCAGTGAGGGTAATGGAAGTAAATTTGTGTGGAAAAGACTGATTGACACATCACTGTTGCTTTTGCATTCAAGGGAATTGCTTAATTTGCCTTTTTATTGCAAGTTCAAAAAAATGGATTTGAATTGTATAATTTATAAATGCTCAAAACTCATAGTAATTAAAACACTAAAGGATTTTCTATCATAATAAGCTATTGTTTTTCAATACAGGGTGATCACTTGCTGTCAGATTTAGTTGCAGTTGTGTTGGGTTTTTAAAACAATTATTTCATTTCATTTTATTATTGGACCTTTATCCCCAAGCTTACTAAATTAAAATTTCTGGACTACCATGTCAACCCCTATGTTGTAAAAAAGTGTTTTATATTTAGTTTTGTTTTATCTTGCCTAGGGTACTAGTGACTTTTAAAGGGGTCATGATATGCCTTTGTTTTTTATTTTGTACTGTTCTCTGAGGTCCACTTATAATGTTATCAAGATTTTTACATCAAAAAACATAATTTAGAAGTAAAAGGCTATTTTCTGTCCTATTTTGACTCCCCTCATCAGGGTGCTCTGTTTGAACTGGCGTGGCGGATTGTAGACTCGGAAGTAAATGGAATCACACTTGTCGTGTGACATCAGATCCAATATAGTCAGCACAGCATTGTCTTTTAGTTTCAGTCTTTCTGAAAATCATCCATCGAATTGTGACTTGTTTGTAAATGAATCCGCAGTAAAATTAAGTAAACAAAGGACCAAGTACTTACTGACGCAGTCTGGCACCTCAAAAATAAAGTTCATCAAATACAGTAAAGTTAATCATTTGGTTTCTGTGTAGACCTGCGTTTGCCGCTCTTGTCATTTACCTATGACGTGCGCGAATCGGTGGGCGGGGCTAAACAGGCAGCGATGTAGAAGCAGGTGTTGATCTTCTGCGGAGGCAGCGCTTAACCACACTAGTACATCATAGAGTGGCATATTCCACAACCTGTCACCACTGAGTTGAAGTATGTTGCCTGCTGATTTTGAGACGCTTGTAAAGGAAATGGTTATGAACACTCTCATTTTTTTTATTTGTGGAGAAAGGAAATGTCAAAGTGCTTAGAAGGCAGCAGGTAGAGAGGAACAGGTGATTGTGGGAAGGCAGCGCTAATGCAGTGAGGGTAATGGAAGTAAATTTGTGTGGAAAAGACTGATTGACACATCACTGTTGCTTTTGCATTCAAGGGAATTGCTTAATTTGCCTTTTTATTGCAAGTTCAAAAAAATGGATTTGAATTGTATAATTTATAAATGCTCAAAACTCATAGTAATTAAAACACTAAAGGATTTTCTATCATAATAAGCTATTGTTTTTCAATACAGGGTGATCACTTGCTGTCAGATTTAGTTGCAGTTGTGTTGGGTTTTTAAAACAATTATTTCATTTCATTTTATTATTGGACCTTTATCCCCAAGCTTACTAAATTAAAATTTCTGGACTACCATGTCAACCCCTATGTTGTAAAAAAGTGTTTTATATTTAGTTTTGTTTTATCTTGCCTAGGGTACTAGTGACTTTTAAAGGGGTCATGATATGCCTTTGTTTTTTATTTTGTACTGTTCTCTGAGGTCCACTTATAATGTTATCAAGATTTTTACATCAAAAAACATAATTTAGAAGTAAAAGGCTATTTTCTGTCCTATTTTGACTCCCCTCATCAGGGTGCTCTGTTTGAACTGGCGTGGCGGATTGTAGACTCGGAAGTAAATGGAATCACACTTGTCGTGTGACATCAGATCCAATATAGTCAGCACAGCATTGTCTTTTAGTTTCAGTCTTTCTGAAAATCATCCATCGAATTGTGACTTGTTTGTAAATGAATCCGCAGTAAAATTAAGTAAACAAAGGACCAAGTACTTACTGACGCAGTCTGGCACCTCAAAAATAAAGTTCATCAAATACAGTAAAGTTAATCATTTGGTTTCTGTGTAGACCTGCGTTTGCCGCTCTTGTCATTTACCTATGACGTGCGCGAATCGGTGGGCGGGGCTAAACAGGCAGCGATGTAGAAGCAGGTGTTGATCTTCTGCGGAGGCAGCGCTTAACCACACTAGTACATCATAGAGTGGCATATTCCACAACCTGTCAGATTGGCTTCAATATAAGCTGTTTTTAGACTAACGAGAAAGTTTTGAGTTCTGAAACTTACATAATGTTTTTATAGCACAATGACCTCTTATATGTACAAAAAAAAACAAAATTTAAAAGCTCCTGGTCTTCTATCTATTTATTGGAAGGGAAAGCTTAGTCTGCAACAGTCATTAATGCTGAACATGTCAGTATGAGTAAGGAACATAGTGAACCTGATCGGGGAACAGAGATCCTTATTCTCTGCCAATTGAATTCTTTATCTCAGTGGAGGACTGTAAACTTCAGGGGCTGTTTGTTGCTGAAAGTGTCCCTAGTGGCAGAGCTATAAAATAAGGTGTTAAACACAGACAGTCGAGTACATTATTGCTTCATTGAGTAGGTGTAATAATGAACAGTTCTGCCTCAGTCATGTTTCACTTTGCTATCAATCATGTTTATGACTAAAAAGGGAATAGATGTTGCATCCATCCTTTGTGTTAAGTACATCATTTTAATATATTTTAATCTATTTAAAATGTCATTTATTCCTGTGATGGCAAAGCTGAAGAAGTCTTCAGGATCACATCTTTCAGAAATAATTCTAATAAGCTGATTTTAATAAGCTCAAGAAACCTTTCTTATTATCATCAATATTGATAACAGTTGTGCTACTACTACTACTACTAATATTTTCATGAAAAACGTCATATATTTTATGTATTTGTTAGTATTCAGTGTCTATAAAGTGTCTAGTCAGAACATGGTTGGTCTGTTTTCTGAATCCAGCCACACTTTATAGAAGGATGTCCCCTGTGTGGGAGCAGAAGGGCTTCTGATGATTACATGCTTTCAACTTTGCCAGTATGAGGGGAATTCTTGGCCAGGAAACTGAAAGACAATATTCTCAAACCACTCAATAATTGTGTGAATTAGTGGGTGGGAGGGTGCAATTACAGCCGTATGCTTTGAATTCAGAAGTAAAATAAAAAAAGAACGTGTCACAAATAAAATGATGTAGGAAAATAATTATGATATGAATATAATTGTGTGCTTTGCAGGTGAAAGTAATGGTGAGGATATGCCCTGCCAAAGGATCGCGAGACACCTCAGAATCCATGTCCTTTCTCAAGGTAGACGCCCATAAGAAACAGCTGACCTTTTGTGAGCCACCCACCTGCACACGCTCCACTTCTGCCACCGCCCCAAAGATGTTTACCTTTGATGCCATCTTTACCCAAGATGCTTCACAGGTACAGTAATGGTATAAATGCTTCAATTTTTGGCAATCAGCATAATCAAAGCAAGCATTTTACAAGTTATACCAAGGAGATATCCACTATTTCCCGTCTGTACTTATAATTTTATTTTGAACAAAATCTTCACAGAATTGATGTCAAACAGGCATGACATCTATGCTGAGATCAAAGCAATGCATAAGGGAGATATTCAGTTTCGCTTGGTTTGCGAGGTAGATAAAAGGTTTGGGTTGGTGAGTTGAGGTTATCGTTCCGAGCCCACAGCACCTGAAAGGATCTCAGAGGAAAAGATAACATTGCTCTTTTCTCTGCTTCCTCCTGAACTCTTTGGGAGTTTGGAGTCTTTGGGTTTCCTGTCCTAGAAACATCAGGTCTGATGATCAATGACTACCCCACATTGTTCGCAACAAAAGAGGCTTTGAGCGAGCACACATCAGAGGTGGTTCTTACAACAACACTGTCAAAGCTTTCCTCAAGCTGCAAAATACACACACATAATTCCAGGGTTTGAAATCTTCATCTGTGTCCTTACTGTATTCTGCATCTCTTTGGGAAGTTTGCAAGGATGAGCAAGGATCAAGTTTGCAAGGCTCTATCCCTCTGTCGATCGTTCTGTCTGTCTGTCTGTCTCTCTGTCTCTCTGTCTGTCGCTCTGTCTGTCTGCCATTCTATCTCTGACTGTCTATCTGTCTGTCTGTCGTCTGTCACGCTGTCTGTCTGCCATTCTATCTCTGACTGTCTGTCTATCTGTCTGTCTGTCTGTCTGTCTTTCTGTCTGTTATTATAGCTATCTGTCTGTTTGTTGCTCTGTCTATCTGTCTGTTTCTGTCTGCCTATCTGTTTGTCGCATTGTCTGTTGTTCTATCTCTGTCTCTGTCTGATCATTCTATCTATCGTTCTGCCATTCTTTCTGTCTCACCTTTGTCTTTTGTCTGTCTGTCTGATGTCTGTCATCCAGCCTGTCTGTCGTTCTTTCTGTCTGTCTACTGTTTTAACTATTTATCTGTCTGTCCATCTGTCTATCTGATGTCCTGTCTATCATTCTGCCAGTCTGTCATTATATGAATCTGTCAATCTACTGTTCAATCGTTCTTTCTGTCATTCTTGAGTTTGTCTGTCAATCTGTCTGTCCGTCTGAATATAAATACTGTATGTACAACTAATAAAACAGTTTGAGTTGGTGTTTAAATCTGGGTTTGTGTCCTCAGGCGGAGGTGTGCTCGGGGACAGTGGCAGAGGTTATCCAGTCTGTGGTTAACGGGGCAGATGGCTGCATCTTCTGTTTTGGTCAAGCCAACCTCGGTTAGTAGACATCTATTCAAGTAGCCCATATTTGACAGTTATTAACTTTATAATAATGCATTGTTCAGAATGCAGTTTTGATGGAGTAGCCTTCAGTCACATGAGGCGAAAGGAAAATCGTCACAAAATACACTGTTTTGGCTGCATTGGAAATTTCCTAACAAGGAGGCAGGGAAAATGCGGGGAGGGCTTATGTGTTTGAGCAGTAATAGCAGTTTGTTGAACACAGAGTGCCCTCGTTTTACACTTTGTGTTTGAAAAGCGCTCAGTTTCTCTCTGTCCTACTCTCTTGTTGATCAGCCCCTCACTGTGAGAGACTGTGTGCCTCCCACCGTGCTGCTTCAATCCCCCATAGTTAGCTTGGCTGCTCATTTGCTCTGCTTTAGCGTGGTATATTCTCTCATGACTAACATCCTTGTGGGTTAATTTTATTAGCTTAGGGGCATTTTACATAGACAGTACTATTATTAACACAAATCCTATTATAGACCTGCTCTTATATCATTAAGGAGTTAAGTCAAGCTAAGTTAATCAGTTGACAGTGTAATTTTTATCATGTCTACGTTGACCTGCTCCCTTTTTTCTATCAATTTTCACTTTAAATAATATAAATTTTATCTGCAGTCGTCCAACAACTTTTGAATGTTTGGTTACATCCCTCATTAGCAATAGCCAGTTGTTGTTTTTTTACTTCACAGGCAAAAGCTACACAATGATTGGCAGGGACAGCTCTACACAGAGCTTGGGTGTGGCACCCTGTGCTATCTCTTGGCTTTTCAAGCTCATCGAGGAAAGGAAAGAGAAAGCTGGCACACGATTCTCCATCCGCGTGTCTGCTGTGGAAATCTGTGGCAGGGAGGAGGTGCTGCGAGACCTGTTGGCTGACTTTTCCACAGGGACTTCCCAGGACAGTCAGCGTGCAGGAATTTCCTTGCGAGAGGATCCGGTCTGTGGATCACAGGTGCATAGAGCTTGTTAATAATAGAGCATGGTGCTAGCAATACCAAGGTTATGTGTTTGATTCCCAGGGAATAGATTAAATAGATAAATTAGGTTTTTAGATAAAAATTTTGAAAAATGTAACATAATTAGGTGCCACAGTCTTTTTTTATGTACACTAATGTTCAAAGGTCTCATGCTCATTATGGCTGCATTTATTTAATAAAAAATACAGTAAAAAATAGTAATATTGCGAAATATTATTACAATTTAACTGTTTATAAATTACTACAATATAACTGTTTTTTTATTTTAATATATTTTAAAATAAATAAATATAGATGTAATTATTAACATATTTTTAAAATAAATACATGTAATTTATTAATTTACTGTTTATTCCAGTCTTTAGTTTCACAGAATCCTATTATTATCAAAGTTGTAAACAGTTGTGCTGATTAATATTTTTGTGAAAACCCTCATACATTTTTTTTCTGAATTATTTGATGATTACAAAGTTCAAAAGAACAGCATTTTTTAAAAATATCAATATTTTTAAATATTCTTAATAATGTCTTTACTGTCACTTTTGATCAATTCAATGGATCCTTGCCAAATAAAGTGTTAAATTATTTCATAAAAAGAATCATACTGACCCCAAACGTTTGAGCGGTAGTATACAGTAATCGCAAGTCACCATTCTTTGACTACTGTCCAAATGAAAATGTTCTTTAATCTAATTAATCAACATCAGTCTTCATTCTCTTTCTTTATCTCTGTGTCTCACTCTCACTTTAAAATGTGTCCAGCTGCAGAACCAGAGCGAGTTGCGGGCGTACTCTGCAGAGAGGGCGGCATTCTTCCTGGATGCAGCTCTGGCAGCACGCAGCACCAGCAGATCTGACTGTAAGGAAGAGGACCGCCGGAATTCTCACATGCTCTTCACCCTACACATTGCCCAGTACCGTATGGAGAAGAGCACCAAAACAGGAAGTATGACTTACTGTGCTCATTTTCACATTTATTTAGGAAAGCCTTATTGAAATGTGATATTTACAACAGAAGATATTTAATATATGGTTGTTTGTCTTTTAAGAGCATAATAGTTTACTTTCAATGTTGAGAAGAAATGCTAAAACAATATTTTGAGCCATACAACTTCCAGGGTTTAAAATAAAACAACTTCAAAGGCTATCTACCTCCACCTCAAAAATTAAGTTATAGCGCCTTATAACCGTCTGAGAATTCATATCATATATCTTCATGCATCATTAGTATTTTGAGAAGACTGTTACTGAGGGCGGCCGATACCTGACTTTTCCATTATCATGCTGTCCATGTTCACAGAGAGTATCAGTTACCTCAATTTAGTCCCGCTGATAACGGCTCTACGAGAATGCTAACAAGAATGGTTAGCACATTTTCATTACTGGGCGTAGCCATCCTGTCAAGTCAGCATGTCAACATTAGAATGATCATTAATATTGCGCTCCCGTCGCTGCAATGCAGGCTGGATTCTGGCCATTGACACTAGCCAGAATAGATTTTAATATGTAATGAGGCTGGAGTCTCTTCTGCAGAGATGTTTATAGAGCCCAGCATGAAATGAGAAGCGCTGGCTTTGTAAATCCTGCCGACGTGAGGTTAATGGCCTCCATCTCAGTGTGAAACAAATGCATCTTCTGTAATAATGCTGAATGAATTTTACTCTAGTGACCTACATGGGACTGTAATCTAACTAGCTGTAATTACTTTTATTGCTTGCTGTTTGATGGACTGCCAAGGATATTGAATCGCCACTTACCTAGCAGTGATCCTATATCTAACTGCTGTCTCATAAGGTCCCCTGCAACACTGTGATGTGTGGTACCTGTGGCCTTTTTGATGATACAATACTTTCTTCTGTCTCAGCTTAATGTGCAGAGCAACTACATAATTCGTAGGTTGTGTTTAAATGGGATTTTAAGCCCAAAGAGTCTTCAACATTGGGAGTCAATTTCTGTTTTAACAGGCTGTGTATAACTTTGCAGTGTCTGGGAGTCGTAGCCGTCTGCATCTTCTGGACTTGGGCAGTTGTGAGTCTGATTTGAGTCAAACGCGAGATGGAGGGAGAGGCCAGTGTCTGTCATTGGGTGCCCTTGGAAATGTCATCCTAGCCTTGGCCAATGGAGCCAAGCATGTGCCATACAGGTATGTGTTTTGAGGTTCAATTAATCAATATAAACCAATAGTGGGAGATGATATATCTCTGTTAATGGTGGTAATGTGTCTCTGAGCACACATTGAGTCCTCCTGATCTGCATCTGCAAGGGTTTCATTCTCACCCTCCTCAGATCAATGAAGCCAATTAGCCAGCTTTGCAGGGTGAGAAAGCAGCCAGGGTGAACTGGACTTGAGGTGGGATGTAGGCCTATTGATAGGAATGTGGGTCAGGGAGTAGCAGATTTATGCTGAAAGGAAATTACGAAATACTCACCGGAAGGTGGGATAGTAAATACAATGACGTGAGCAGAGAAAATGTATATTTTTCTTTCAAATGTGGCTTCAGAAAATAGCATCCTCCACAACAGAGTAAAATAAAAACATTCCAAATCAGGTCACCAGAAAGTTAGCATAATTTTCTTTGGATTCTTTTTATTCAAGGATGATTCATAATCCTCTATTTTAAGAGAACCTCTTAATGATGTTAGAGGGAAAAAGCAGAACGTTGTAAAGCCTAGCTTCCTTTTTGGCTAACGAGAATATTTTTTGATGTATAATTCAGAGACAGCAAGCTTACCATGCTGCTGAGGGAATCGCTGGGCAACATCAACTGTAGAACCACCATGATCACCCACATCTCTGACTCGCCAGCCAATTATGCCGAATCTCTCACCACTGTGCAGCTTGCCTCCCGTATTCACCGCATGAGAAAGAAGAAATCCAAGGTTTGTGATTCAAATTGATGTATTGATCATTTGAATAGTGTATGCTTATGTATTCATAGTTCTTTAAAAAAATAACTGACACTCATTCATGGTACCAAGATAATCATATAAGGCAGTAAGTCCTCCAATAAACCTTTCTAAAAGTAAAAAATGAAAAAGAGAAAAAGATGTTTTGGACCACTATTTATTGTGAAAATGCTTAGTAACTATATTATAATTATTTTAATTAACAATAATATTTTCCAGATTGTTTTTAATATATATTTTTTTGTAAATAATTTATTTTGACTTTGGTACAATGACAGCATGATATTTGCTAAAAGTATTTATTTTTATCAGCATTTTGTCTACATTTACTTTTTGTCTTTATACATTCTACAATAGGTCAAGACTGTAATTTTCCTAAATTACATTTTGGATTTTATTCATCAGAATCATTCACAATTTAAATAACGATTCATGCTTTGTCAGAGAAACAAATGTTACAGTGATAATTTAACTGCAAAATTTCTCTGTGACCTCTGTCATGTAATCAACAAATGTAATCAATGCATTTGTTCCAGAGGGAGAATAGCATGTAACCTTTCCCATCACAGAGGCAATTTTCACCATTATTAAGCTGTTTTGACAGAATATATTTATATTTTATAGACCTAAAAAATACTTTCCGTCTAACGTATGCATAGTATTGACAACTATTTTAGCTTCTCCTTTGGTATGCACTTTTCACCTTTGATATTGACATGCTGTTTCATGAAGGGATGTCTCTCTGAATATATTGCGTGCTGTGAAAGAGCTGTCTGCAAAGACATATTGAAGTCAGTTTGGTATGTTATTTTGTTCAGTATGCATCAAGTTCCTCTGGAGGGGAGAGCTCCTGTGAAGAGGGACACATCAGACGGAGACCCTTCTACCCTCGGACTGTGGCTCTTGACCCAGACCACCCTGCAATGTTATCCAGTGACCCAGATTACTCCTCCAGCAGTGAGCACTCATGTGATACAGTGATCTATGTGGGGCCTGGTGGGACCCCTATCTCTGATCGTGAACTCAGCGACAATGAAGGCCCACCTGCATTTGTTCCTATCATTCCCTCTCTGAACAAGAAGCGTGTAAAAGAGGGACCTAAATCTGATGGGGACCACCTCAAATGCAACACCTTTGCAGAGTTACAGGAACGGCTTGAGTGTATTGATGGTAGTGAGAGCACATCTATTTTCACCAGTGAAGGAAAAGGCCAACAGACGGCCTCCAAAAGTGAAGTGGAAAAAGCATCAGAAGGGGCTTCTGTATCAAACAGGACCGCCAAGTGTTCTCTTCAAAAGCCTGCGCACATGCAACATGGGGCAGCGTCTGAAATTAACACTACTTTAAGACAAGATTCAGAGCCTGTTGTGAGAGAGAAAGTTTTTATTAGAGGACCTATTCAAAAACCCAATGCCTCTTCATCCTTGCAGAACATCTCAAAGACCTCAGTTTTGAATACCGAGTGTGGCTTAGCCACACGGACACCTCCAGTAGGTATGAGCCAGCAAGCCCTAAGGCAGAGAGAACGCAATGACTCCCCAATTACTGGCAGATCCCATCACCTCAGTAGAAGTCCTATGGAAATGAGCCATCTACGTGCTACTCTGAGGAACAGGTGCCTCGAAAGGGATGTTTTAAGGACTACAGTAACACTGCAGCAGCCTGTGGAGCTCAATGGAGAGGATGAGCTGGTGTTTACGGTGGTGGAAGAGCTACCTGCTGGTCTGGTTCCAGACAATGGGAGACCATCCAGTATCATTAACATCAACACAGACTGCTCTTTGCAGGCCCTGACATCTCACTCACGGCCTGTTAGCATTATCAGCAGCATCAACGATGAGTTTGATGCGTACACATGCCAGATGAACAGATCCCAGCTGAACCAAGGTGCTACTTCCAAGACACAGGAGGAATTTACAGCTGGCCATGCAACTGCACACTCTTCAGTCGGCTCCTGGTCTTGCAAGACAAATATTTGTACCCCAAGAAGTGATGAGACATCAAAGGGAGTGCACAAGAGACCAGTCAGCAGCTCCATGATGGATTTACCTGGTGGTTTACACACTGAGTCTTTCTCCCAACAAAGAACAAATAGTCCACTGGGTGACAGTGGAATTTGCTTTTCAGAACAAGACTATGATTCTGCAGGAGACAGTGGAAGGCATTTTGGTAGTCTTATGTCACTTGAAAGGTGTGACAGTTTAACCTCAGTGGGTTCCAAACCAATAACATCAAGGGAAAACAGTAATGTCAGTATCAGTAGCACTGGCAAATCTGCTAAAATGGTGCCAAAACCTGGGACACCCTGTTCAATATCTACACCAACCGTTACTTCCCCTCCATCTACTAGTGGAATTTGTAAGCTTGGACAAATAAAAGCCAGTATAACTCCTAGATCCATTGTTGGGAATGGCAACAAAGGGAAGACCTTGTCGAGTACTGGTTCAAAGTCTCTTAGCTCCTCCACCAAGTTCCTTGCCGTCTCAGCTGCTCGGAACACCAGTCTACCTCCAGCTGGAAAGCCCCCAACTCGCTCTGTCACAAGCTCCAATACTAAACAAGGAAGGGGCACTATTATGGGCACAAAGCAAGCGATTCGTGCAGCCAACAGTCGGGTCAGTGAATTAGCAGTTGGTAGCTCCAAGAAACACCTCAGGGGCTCTGACCAAGCAGATGACAACAATGATGCCAGAACTTCCAGTGAGACACCACTGGCTGCTCCTTTGCCTTCTCCTTACAGCAAGATCACAGCCCCTCGCCGTCCTCAGCGCTATAGTAGTGGCCACGGTAGTGACAACAGCAGTGTACTTAGTGGTGAACTGCCTCCTGCCATGGGGCGCACTGCGCTTTTTTATCACAGTGGAGGCAGCAGTGGCTATGAGAGCATGATCAGGGACAGTGAAACCACAGGCAGTGCATCGTCTGCCCATGATTCCATGAGTGAGAGTGGAGTGTCCACGTCCAGTCGAACAAAGGCCTCAAAATCTCCCAAAAAGAGATCGAATGGTGAGTTTTACTGGGAAACCACTCAGGGCACTATTTACTGGTGATCAATTCAAGATTTATTAGATGGCCTTCAAAGGTTAGAATGGAAAATAGGTAGTACAGTAAAGGTTGTTGTAATACGTGTTGTAATGTATCTAGACTATGATAATGAGGACCAAATATATTGCTTATTATTCCCATCCTAAAAATTATTTTTTAAATTTTAAATGAGTGTCTTAGCCAAGGTTTACATCACAGTCTTCTAGTATAACTGCCCCTACAAGCAGTCATTGGAGACAAATGGGGCCAAAATCTCCACTATGATGTTTCATACAGTCTGACATCAAAGACCATTGATGTTGCACAGTGTGCCATGGCTTTTACCTAAGATTCCACCGGGACAATAAATATTAGTAAAGCATCCCATCTAGCCAGTCAGTCTATTTAGGCCATTTAAATTTATGAACTCAAGGTTATTAGGCATTTCTGGTTTTTAATATGCACTCACCCTATTTTGTAATCTGCATTTACCCAAAAATCATTTTTACTTTAAATCCTGTAACCACTTGCAAGCCTCATAAATATTTAAAAGCATGCCAACAAACTCTGCTGTTCATCTCCGGCCCACATGAAGAGCATTACCCTGTGTGACCCCTCCAGGCCTGCAGCGACGCCGTCTGATTCCTGCTCCTCTGCCAGACACCTCTTCTCTGGGCAGGAAGGTTGGTGCAGCAGGCCAGTGGGTCGATCTACCTCCACTGGGGGGTGCTATGAAGGAGCCCTTTGAAATAAAAGTGTACGAAATTGATGACGTGGAACGCCTTCAGAGACGCAAAGAAGGGTTGACAGAGGTAAGAAGACAGTACGTCTGACAAGTGCATTCTATGCTGTTTGTATGCTAATCACTGAATTCAGTCTCATTCTGGTTCATTTACGAAGTGTATATCAAAAGTTCATGTAGTGTTCAAGTAGTTTATTTGCCAAGAAATGCTAAATCATTGGTTAAAAATAAATAAATAAAAAAAAGGTTACATTTTTTTTTTAAAATTGGTAATTGGTTAAAAACAAAAGTGTTAGCATGAGGCTAACAGGCTAGTAGAAGTGGAGTAAAGGTATTTCCCCAATATGTGACTTTATCCAGTTTATTTTTATTCTTCGTAAAACAATCCTACAATTGATTTTCAATCCTTTTCACTTTAGTGTTCAGCATGTGGCACCATCCCAGCATGGAGTAACATCAGTGTTTTATTTATGCTAAACCTAAAAGCATCTTATTGTAGCATGAGATTCTGATGTTTCTCACATTCCGTGACAAGTGCAGTTGTCAGTAATGAAGCTTATCTCTGTGACAATTACTTATGTTGGCTAATTGATTTTAGATTGGACTGATAGCTTTAGTTAGACAGGGATGACTGGTGTTGTAGGACAGAAAGAAGTGAGATTAGCTAAGGTCTCTCCAGAGAGAGGAAGAGATGGTGAGAGAGATAGAAGTAGAGAAAGCATTGGGGAGAGGGTCAGGGGTGCCTGTGATGAATGAGGTGTGGCTCCTCAATCTGTGGCCCGCCTGAATGGTCTTTATAGCCCACTCTATACAGCGTGTCTATGGGTCATTAACCGTTTCTCTGTGAGTTTCTAACCCTGATCACACAGGCAATTGTGTGGAGAAGACGAGAGGAAAAGACATTAACTCAGTCGAACGATGCTCTGATTTATTTTCAATTAAGAAAAAATGATCTCAGCTCGCATATTAGAGTCTGGCAGTTTGCTCATGAAGAATTAGGCTGTTCACCCTCTTGTTTTATGTGAATCTGTATGTATGTGGGTAGGAATTTGTATAACTGCTAAGTTTATTTATGTTTTGTAAAATTTAATTCTGTTTGCAGTGGGCATAGCATAAAAGCTTGAATGAGTTTTTCTTCATCTGTAGTTGACAAACCTGAGATATTTGCAGAAAAGAAGTAATTATTTTGCATTTTCATTTACTTTCTAATGGCCACCTGGTAGTGACACAATACACATGATAAGAGGAGGGTAATCTATACTGTAATTCAACCTTTCAGTAACAGGGTCCTCTTGAACATGATCTTTATTTTTAATCACTTAAGCAAACGTGCCTCTAGAAGACCAGCGAGCGTTTAACCTGGATGCTAATTTTATTTTCAGCTTAGCCCTAATTAATCTGACCAAAGGGCTGAGGACCTAAATCCTCTGTACAGGTTACGAGCATTGAATCAATTCGGCTTAAGCCATTGTACTTTAAATCAGCCTTGAGGACGGCCACACATAGTCTAGCAGGTGCTTGGAATAGGTGCAAGAGGTTTGTGGTTGACTGTAAGCAACTCACACTGCTGTTCCACACTTGCAGGGTTTGCAGTACTTTAACACCCGCCTTAGGATGCTGGAGAAGAGGCAGCAGCAGATCAGGGAGTTAAGAGCCAAGCACGAGAAGCTGAAAAAGGAGCTAGAGGATGCCAAGACTTGTCTCATGCTGGACCCCAGCAAATGGATGGGAGAATGTAAGTTCCCAAGTGTATATTATTGTCTAATGTCAGGGGTTTTCAAACTTTTTCTATTTTAATGAATATCAAATGATGGCCTTCCCTTTTTAAAGTATTATGGCAAACATATATTTTATTGTATGACCCATCTACACATGATTGTATCCTAAATTAAATCCTGTGATTTTGTTGTTACTGCACTAAATCCAAAGCAAATTATAAAAAAAAATATCTGAAGAATATTTACTTTGTATTAAGTTCATACAGTGTCTTTTTCCCATCTATTTATTGTTTAAAAACTAGGACTGTCAATAGAACAAAATAAATGTGATTAATCTCATGATTTCTGACTTTAAAAAGCTGAAAATTTGTGTCAAGCATATTTAACATCTCAAGTTGACAAGTTAACTTGCCTTGTTGATGCTAATTTTCCACTGGTCCCCTTGTGGTCCCTTTGACCTCAATTTGAAAACCTCTAATTTATGTGACACTGAATATTATCAAGTATTACACAAAAATATTATTCACACTTTTGTTTGACTGAACTTAGTGGTGTGGTATACATGAGCAACTCTGTTCATGCTACAAATTTCACAAACTTTTAGCCAAAAGGACATTTTTACTGTGACACTCTACCATACATCAAGGTCAGGAATGATTAATTTTACCATGCATCTTACACAGCATAAGTTTCCCAGTAATGTGATGTAGACTAATGGCTCCCTTTATGACTTTAATTTAAGTGTTTGAACTTAGTGCCAGAGGAGTTACAAGAAAATGCTGAGGTAATGGTGCATTCACAGAAATGTCTTGAGCATTGGCTACTTTGAATTGCTGCCTGAGACAATGTATTACAATAATGGATGACATTGGCTTTCTAGAATATTCTCCATAAATGTAAACTGTGACAACAAAACGATTTGTTGAGCTTATGTAAGTGTAATTCTCTTTCACTGAGCTAACTCTGGACACAGACTTTATAACAATGACCAGGATCTTAGACTTTCAAATACATTTGTAAAGACCTTCAGTATCAAACAGGGCAAGAAAATGATTTTAAGAAAATGAAGCTGAATCATGTTATTAGTACCGTTTACTCTACTGAGAATGAAAAAGAACATTGCTAGCAGTAAAGAAAGCTCTGCTGATTCTGTATGTCTGTTTTATTCTGTATTTGAATTACAACTATTACAAAGCACCGATACAACAACCTTGATATTGCAAAGTATCTGTCTCCACTTTGTTAGAAGAAACACTTTTGTAAACAGTATGTGGGAGAAAAATCTCAGGATGCCAAGGAATAATGTAGAGAAAATGGCAGGTGTATGGAGAGAGGGAGTGAATATGCGTGTCTGTGTGTGTTCTTGAATCAATAAGGTATTATTTTTCTCTTCTGCAAAAACTACCTGCCCACTGGCCAGGTGATGTTTACCATTCATGTGTGACTGCTGTCTTGGGTAAAGCTGTGATTGGGGCTGTCATGCTGTATAAATCAGCCCCTCTTCAGAGCCTAGTAAAATGAGGATTGTGTTTCTGCAAGCCCATCTCCCACACCAACCAACCATCACACGCAGAGATTTTTGTTTATGTCTTGAATGATAAAACTATCAATCTAGGTGTGTCAATAGGGCTGCATTGCACAGCACCTAGTCACATCTTTATTATGTAGTACAATAATGTGGCTTCTATGTGTGTATTTATGAGATTGCTTGACTTTTATATTTATACACATTTTAATTAGGACTGTATTCAAATTGATTATTCAGATTAAAATTAAAAACAAATTTACCACACAAATTATTATTTACTGAGAAAAGTCACCAAATAAAGATAATTTAAACATTAGGTTATTGTAGTGGACAAGTAACTCATTGAATAAACATTACAAAAAAGTAAATGTAGTCAGTATACTTTATTATTCATTTTATGTCTGTATTGTTGAATTTGTTTTTAAATTTATTTAAAGAATCTTTTACAAAATTAGAATGTTAAATTGGCCTACCATGGCATGTCATTTATTTAAAACATTTTTGAAATTAAATAAATTTAATTAAATGTCAAAATAAATGGTAAATTTACATCCCTAAGTTTTAAAATAATAATTTTGTTTGCATTTTTCACCCTTTTTTCCATTAGTTGATGTGGACCCTGACCTGGACCAGGAGTCGCAGGACTACCTGGAGGCTCTGGCTCAGGCCACAGGAGACCTGGAGTTTTGTGTCAACCTATGCAAGTCTCGTGTGATGATGGAAACCTGCTTCGATATCGCTGTGCCTGCGATCCCAGGACAGAGTGGACAACAGGAGATGGAGGTCTAGGAGAGAACAAAAAACAGGATGTTGTTTGCAAGCTAGCTGTGAGTTATGGCAAGAATGTTTTTTTCTGGGATTGAGACTGTCCTTCAACAAATGAAGATATTGAATAAGCATGGTTAGAAACTCCCTGAAATGCTGAGAAACAAAGAGACTGAATAGAATAAGAGCAAGACCGTGTCCTGAGATCTTCGTTAAACTTAACCAGGAAGTGCCTTAAACCAAAAAAAAAAACAAAAAAACAAATCCCAAGAACTATCTTTGTTTTATGATTGGTGCTAGTATTGAGACCAACTTTCCCAAGTACACTTTGAAAAACAAAGTATTTTGCATTGCAATGCAGTGTATAGTGTATTTATAAGAGCTAAAGTGTGTTTTAAAAATATCGTTTTAAGTATTAAACACAATAAAAAGTTAAGAAAAAAAAACTCCCCATACTATTGCCTTTTCTAATATCTAAATGACCACAATTAGAACTCTTCGACTTTTTTCTTCAGCATAATGCAAAAACGTGCTTGCCCCTGACAGATGTGATGTCACGCGATTGGATAAAGATGCTGAAGCAGTGGCACTGTCGTCTGTCTCATTCAGTTACAGCCGCTCTGCATAATGATTGGCTGTCTGATACAGATCTACTACTTTACCTGATTGGTGCAGCTGGTGGCAAATCAGAAATTAGAGCTTGTCTCAAACACTTCTCAGGACATCAAACCGAAGTGAGTTTGTACTTATGAATTTCAGTGTGTGCTGTATGCGTCATACTGAAATGTATGCATGTGTCTGTTCTTCTCTGATCATGCAACAACCAGCGTTAAGCTGGTTTCTTTTAGCGTGGTAAACAAATTCACTCTATCTACCTGAACTTCAAAAGATTATGCCTTTCTACACTGAAAATGAATATGTTCAGATATACAAACGGCTATCATCTGTTGACAATATCACAGCACAGGACCTTCTCCTCACTGTGTCCCGTGATTTATCTTCAGCCTCTAATGTTTGATGATTTTTGTTTGTCATGTTAATCCTTAAAGTGTCTCTGGAGAGAAGTGTGACTGCTGTTTCTCATAAAGAAACAAATAGAAGAGATTATTGGGATTTGCAAGGGTTTGAAGTAGAAAATGTGGCTATTTTTTTACATCTTACAAATCTTTCTTTGTTTTTGTTGTTGAATGATTCTTTGTTTAAACAGAGAAAAAAGTCTCAGGCTTTTTTCTCCAAGTTGCTGCATGATATTTTCGATTTGTTCTTCGTAAAATGTATTTAATTTCTTCCTCTTTGTTTTGTATGTTAGTCTGTGATTTCTACTAATAATTTAAGTTTAGCAGATTTGCCAAGCATTTAGACTTTTTCAATGTCTATGATGTTATCAGTGTTCCTGCTTTGTATTGTACAGTTTTTTATCCTTTTTAAAAACCATGTATAGACTCCTAAGTTTGCATTAACATAAAGTTATGAATAAAAATAATGTTTCCTCTTTATAATTCTTTGTGTGGCTATTTCATTTTTCTACATAAAAGAACATTAAGATTTCTTCTGTTATAAAGGCCAGAGTACAAATTACATGAAAATATTTTGCACATAAATATCTGCAAAGCAGACAGCACAACTGAATGAATCCCATAATTCTTCTTTCTAACAAATGATAACACTTTAAAAAGAATGTCATCTGCGTTTTATATTCTTATTTATAATAATAAATGTTGCTTGTCCACCAAATCAGCTTATTACAATGATTTCTGAAGGATCATGTGACACTGAAGACTGGAGTAATTTCTGCTGAAAATTCACTTTTCACATGTGCAGGAGAAGAGACTGTGTAAAGTAATGACAACTTGACATTAAAGCAATCATCCACTGTGGACTTGTTAAATTTCTACTGGTCACAGGGGTGATGAAAAGATGCTCCTACACAGATGGCTGGAGCCAAAACAAATTTGAGAATTGAATCATACCACAGATTGATCTTCATTAGGTTTTCAGCTCTATAAATGATGGTATACTGGCTTTGTGATTCATTTAAACTCTTGGGCATTGTGAGTCTATAGACACAGAAGAGACCTGAGAGCTGCAAAGGCCCAACGGTAAAATCACTTTGAGTGATCCCATTGGTGGGTTATTCCACCTGCTCTCTCCTGTTCTCCTCAGCAGATGGTCTCATCAAATGGATCGAGATGTTTTAATCAGTCTCTCTGAAGACATCTAGTCGTTTAAGTCATAATGTGTCACTGAGAGTCACCAAGTGACCCTGTCAAATTTGCTGACTAGAAGCACACCGAATCTGTTCCCGCAGAAAAGCCTGCAGAATTTGATCATCTGTCATTCATACAGTTCTACATATCCCCCGATTGTTGGTCTCCTACAGTGAAAACCTTTGATGCGTCTCATTCTGTATCTGTCTTCCTCTGTTCATTACGTACATGGATGGGGGAGGGCAGGTTCAAAAGCAAACAGTCCAACCCCCAGGCTCTGAATGTGATTGATCCCTGTGAAGATGTGCAACAGAAATGGACAAAATGGAGGTGGAGTCTGTGGTATTTCAATTCCATCCTCTGACACAATGCTATACTTCTTGCATTTATATTGATAAATGGAAAAATATTTAGAAATTCATGACAGAATGCATGAATAATCTTATAAAACGAGCATAACTGGTGATAAAAAACGCACCCAACACCCAACACACCCAAACCAAGTTTCTGCAGGCTGAAGCATTAGCCAAATATCAGTGTGCATGTATGTGAAATAAGTGGTTGTATTGCACTGAATAACTAATATCCTAACAACAAACTCAAAAGTTTTTTCTGACAACTTCCACTCTAATGGACTTTTTTAAACAAACAATCATTGTTTTTTTGTTTTGTTTGTTTGTTTTGTTATGTGTTGTGTTGTTGTTTTGTTTTGTTTTCACTTAGCTTTTTTATTTTGTTGTTTTTGTTTGATTTTTTTGTGTGTTTTGTTTTGTTTTGCTTTGCGTTTAGTATTTTGGCTTTTGTGTTTTTGGATTTTTACGTCTGGATTTTTTTTTTCAAGCAAACAATCATTGTTTTTGTTTTGTTTTTGCTTTGCTTTTTATTCTATGTTGTTTTGGTTTGTTGTGTGTTTTGTTTTTGCTTAGCTTTTTTATTCTATGTTGTTTTGGTTTGATTTTTTGTGTGTTTTGTTTCTCTCTGCGCTTCTTTTTATGTTCTGTTTTTTGTGTGTTGTTTTTGGCTTTCGAGTTTGGTTTGATGCTTGGTTTGTGCTTTGTTTTGCATTTGAATGTTGCTTATATTTCCTGCCCATGCCTGTTCATGAAAAGGGTACATGCATTTATTTTTGGTATGCAAGAATGCTTGTTCTCAACACATTGTCTTCTATGATGATTGAGGTTGCTGTGACACCTTGATTGGGGAGCTGAAGCAGTGAACCAAGCACTGAGAAGTCATTTGCTATGAACAAGGCTTATTTCCTGCAGTGACAGGTCCAAACTGTGAGTATGCATTGGTGAATACAGTGTGATTGGCACATAGCAGTGACAGGGTGATGTATCTTTCTTTTACTGGCACATTGAAATGTAAGGGTGAATAGTAGCGGGGTTAATTGCTCCTTGTTGTAAGGAGCCAATGTGCCACCTGTCACGCCTATTGCATTAATCCCATCAGAGGCAGCATGTGCCCATCAAATACATGGCAATGGTTGCTGTGGCTCCCATTTGTGAATATAGCCTTGCCTAGCCTGCAGTAATAGTTTTAAAATTCATTTTTAGTTGCTGTGTAGACTGGGCTAGGATATTTTCCTTCTTTGTACATGTACATCACTTTGTGAAAGAACAGACATTTTGGGCTGCCAGCTATACTGAGATAAATTGGTTACTTTAGGAGCATTTTGCAACAGACAATATTGTACAAACAAGCACTCAAAAAATCCCACAGCCAGAAAGGTATAACACACATTTAAATCATAGAAAGCTGTTTATGCCTTTACAGTTTGAAAGATATTTTCTCATCCTGGGAGAGGAGACTATATATCATTTTTACTGTTTGTTGTGCCTTGCTAGCTCAGATGAAATGGGGTTTATTGACTCATTTCAGAGCAAATTAGCATCTGCTCTGAAGATAGCCTGGAGCGATCTATTTTGTTTTCTCATCCTCAAACTGAGTATTTGCGCAGATTCCCTCTATCTTAATTCAACTTTGTCATATGACCTCTGCCAAACTGTTTCTGTGAATTAGCTGTCAGCTGCTTTAAAGGGTTAGTTCATCCAAAAATGAAAATTAGGCTGTGTTTTACTCACCCCCGATGCATCCTAGGTGTATATGACTTTCTTCGTGGCATTAAACAGCTTGAAAGATCAAAGACAATTTTTTATATAACTCCGACTGGATTCGTCTGTAAGAAGAAAGTCATATACACCTAGGATGGCTCTGGGGTGAGTAAAAAACAGCCTAATTTTCATTTTCGGGTGAACTAACCCTTTAATGGCACAGTTCATTCAGGTCAAGATCAGCATATTTTTCTGCAAATAGCAACAAGCTTGTGCTGCCTTAATGTAAAAACAAGCAACAGGCAAGTATGCCAGCCATCAGAAGTTCTGCAGGTATTGTGAAGAAACAAGCGAGGATAATAGCGAAAATGGCAGATGATGGAAATAAATGTTATGTTCCATGCTGTGCAGGGGATGTCATGTGCAGGGATGGGTTGGTGTCTGTATTCAGAACGGCACAAAAAACAAATAACGCACATTCTAATAAAATAACGCGAGCCACTAAAGGGACATGGTTAGCTGCTTGCTAGCAGTAGCCTGTTACATTACAGTACACAAGATTTCACTTACCACATAAACAGAGTAAGGAGAGATGACTGAGGATGATGGCGAATGATTTACAGATCCTGAGCACCACTGACAAGCATCTGATCTTGTAAAATGTGTGGTAAGTACTGCCGCTGTAGTTTACACAGAGCATGTGCGATCGCTAATATCGAAAGTGAAAGTAAAAAGCAATTGTGAATTCGAAAGCAGTTTCAATGCCCCGCATATTAATAGCGGCTCCCTGATGCCCGCATTTTATATAATTACCCAACGATATAACTGCGAGAGAAAGTATTGAAATATATATTTTCCCTGTATTTCCCATATGTTGTGTGAGCTACTGAAATGAGCCGCACTGTGAAACAGCCAATCAGAGCAGAGCTCAACATTATTATTCATGACCCTTCCAAATAAGGTAAAAACAGACCATTTCATTCTAGGGACAAATCCTAGGGTTGTAAATGGACATGTAAACCCATTTCTGGAGATCTTTTGCCCTTACCTAAGCCACATACCTTCTATGTAGATATCAGAGAACAATTTAAAATATCGTATCAATGCATTCTATGGCACCTTTAAGGCAATTTTTTCTAGTCTTTTTCATCTTGCATACACCCTGCAAACATGCCCCTGTGGGGCCCATGCTGGCTTTTTGCAGGCACAGTGGACTAGGGCCAGCCCACACCAAACCTAAACAGGCCCAGTGTGGGCTTGCCCAATTCTCACTTTTAACTAGTTAGTAATTAGCATGAATATTACTGGGATATTGGCTATTTATTATTACTAAAAAACACATTAATGTCTTATTCTGCAAGACCTTATTCTAAACCCTTAATCCTCAGTTCCTACCAAATACTTAAACTTAACAACTAAGTATTTACTAAGTATTAATAAGCAGTAATTGGAGTATATTGATGCAAAAGTCATAGTTAATAGTTAGTTAATAGTGAGAATTGGACTCTAATCTAAAGTGTGACCAGAATAATTTATGTATTTATCTATTATTTAACTGAAAGAATTAAATGAACCGTTTCATGTCTATCCATGTATCAATAACTTGTCGAGGTTGATATAGGATTTAGAAAGTTATTAGTAATAAGTAATTAAATACTTTTTGGAGAGAGTAATTTGTACAGTATTCTAATTACACTGTTGAAGATGTAATTAGTAACTAGTAATTAATTACTTTTTTAGAGTAACTTACCCAACACTGATAAGAAGTAGCAAATATGTTCTATTTGAGCACAGGAGCTACTTTTCAGCCTCACTAACATCTGTGTTATAATCAAGAAGCAATGTGAATGCTTTCATTTA